GGAGGTTAGCTTTCGTCATATGACTTTCACATCGGAAACGTTTTCAACACATGAACCTAAATATGTCTGAATTTCTATGTTCCCTAGTGGAGAGAAAGGCACCAGGAAAGGATGTTGTGTTCTTGTTGGATGGATCTGATAGTACTAGAAGTGGATTCCCAGCTATGCGAGACTTTGTCCAAAGAGTAGTAGAGACACTCAGTGTGGATGACAACAAAGACCGTGTCTCAGTGGTTCAGTACAGCAGAGATCCAGCTGTCCAGTTTTATCTGAACACGTACACCACAAAAGCCGAGATCCTCGACACTGTCAGAGGTTTGAGGCACAAAGGCGGAAGGCCCCTCAACACTGGAGCAGCCCTCCAGTACCTGGGGGATAATGTCTTCACGGCCTCTGCCGGAAGCAGGCGCCCGGAAGGAGTTCCACAGGTCTTAATATTGCTAAGTGGTGGAAGGTCTTTTGACAGTGTTGATGCACCAGCCTCTGCTCTCAAACAGCTGGGTGTCTTGATCTTTGCAATTGGAACCAGGAGTGCTGATAGCAGACAACTGCAGGAGATATCAAACGATCCCAGTTATGCTCTCTCTGTGTCTGAATTCACCGACCTTCCCAGTGTCCAACAGCAACTTCAGTCCTCCGTGGAGGCTGTGGTTATTGACGCCTCCCCAGAATCACCAACAGTCACTGGTATGTTAACAAGCACAGCCTCTTGCTGGCCTGAAAGGCTACCTGACCTGTTTAACCTAGATTGAGAGAAAAGAAAAGAATTAAGTTTGATACGTGTTTAGCTCCACATGAGTATTTAAAGATAGTTGGTGGTCTGCATAGCTACTCTTTACAATTAAAGAAGTCAGTGCTAGGTTCTTTCACAAAGAAAAACAGAAATAAATCGTCCACCACTTGATGACTAGTCCAGTAGCGCAGTCTTTGAAAAGGTGTTTATTTTTTTTGTCTTCCTGTCTTTTCTCAGTTGACACTGCCAAAAAAGATATCGTGTTCCTTCTGGATGGTTCTGATTCCACAAGGTATGGCTTCCCCGCCATGCGTGAGTTTGTTGAGAGAGTTGTGGAGAAACTCAATGTGGGACAAAACAAAGACCGTGTCTCTGTGGTCCAGTACAGCAGAGATGCAGAGGTCAATTTCTATCTGAACACGTACACCACAAGAGAGGATGTTTTGGATTCGGTCAGAGGGCTGAAACACAGAGGAGGCAGACCCCTCAACACCGGGGCAGCCCTCCAATACGTCAGGGACAACGTCTTTACAAACTCCTCCGGGAGTAGACGCCTGCAAGGTGTTCCACAGATGTTGATCCTGCTAAATGGCGGAAGGTCTTTTGACAATGTAGATACCCCAGCCTCTGCTCTCAAACAGCAGGGCGTCGTTGTGATTGGCATTGGAACAAGGGGCTCTGACAAGAGTGAACTGCAGAAGATATCATATGACCCTAGTTACGCTCTATCGGTAACTGAGTTCACTGACCTCCCCAGTGTCCAAGAACAGCTCTCCTCTGTAATGAGCACAGTGCCAGTGAGGGCCCCATCTGTGACACCAATAGTACCTGGTAAGAAAGTGACTGATTTTTACCTTCCAAAAGCATGGTAGGATGCAACATGAACTGCATTAAAGCGTATTTTACTAAGTTGAGGTCAGCCGGTGCCACTTTGACAAAACAGGTTTGCCTGCAATTTGTTAAGTAAGGTGTAAACATGGAGGTTAGCTTTCGTCATATGACTTTCACATCGGAAACGTTTTCAACACATGAACCTAAATATGTCTGAATTTCTATGTTCCCTAGTGGAGAGAAAGGCACCAGGAAAGGATGTTGTGTTCTTGTTGGATGGATCTGATAGTACTAGAAGTGGATTCCCAGCTATGCGAGACTTTGTCCAAAGAGTAGTAGAGACACTCAGTGTGGATGACAACAAAGACCGTGTCTCAGTGGTTCAGTACAGCAGAGATCCAGCTGTCCAGTTTTATCTGAACACGTACACCACAAAAGCCGAGATCCTCGACACTGTCAGAGGTTTGAGGCACAAAGGCGGAAGGCCCCTCAACACTGGAGCAGCCCTCCAGTACCTGGGGGATAATGTCTTCACGGCCTCTGCCGGAAGCAGGCGCCCGGAAGGAGTTCCACAGGTCCTAATATTGCTAAGTGGTGGAAGGTCTTTTGACAGTGTTGATGCACCAGCCTCTGCTCTCAAACAGCTGGGTGTCTTGATCTTTGCAATTGGAACCAGGAGTGCTGATAGCAGACAACTGCAGGAGATATCAAACGATCCCAGTTATGCTCTCTCTGTGTCTGAATTCACCGACCTTCCCAGTGTCCAACAGCAACTTCAGTCCTCCGTGGAGGCTGTGGTTATTGACGCCTCCCCAGAATCACCAACAGTCACTGGTATGTTAACAAGCACAGCCTCTTGCTGGCCTGAAAGGCTACCTGACCTGTTTAACCTAGATTGAGAGAAAAGAAAAGAATTAAGTTTGATACGTGTTTAGCTCCACATGAGTATTTAAAGATAGTTGGTGGTCTGCATAGCTACTCTTTACAATTAAAGAAGTCAGTGCTAGGTTCTTTCACAAAGAAAAACAGAAATAAATCGTCCACCACTTGATGACTAGTCCAGTAGCGCAGTCTTTGAAAAGGTGTTTATTTTTTTGTCTTCCTGTCTTTTCTCAGTTGACACTGCCAAAAAAGATATCGTGTTCCTTCTGGATGGTTCTGATTCCACAAGGTATGGCTTCCCCGCCATGCGTGAGTTTGTTGAGAGAGTTGTGGAGAAACTCAATGTGGGACAAAACAAAGACCGTGTCTCTGTGGTCCAGTACAGCAGAGATGCAGAGGTCAATTTCTATCTGAACACGTACACCACAAGAGAGGATGTTTTGGATTCGGTCAGAGGGCTGAAACACAGAGGAGGCAGACCCCTCAACACCGGGGCAGCCCTCCAATACGTCAGGGACAACGTCTTTACAAACTCCTCCGGGAGTAGACGCCTGCAAGGTGTTCCACAGATGTTGATCCTGCTAAATGGCGGAAGGTCTTTTGACAATGTAGATACCCCAGCCTCTGCTCTCAAACAGCAGGGCGTCGTTGTGATTGGCATTGGAACAAGGGGCTCTGACAAGAGTGAACTGCAGAAGATATCATATGACCCTAGTTACGCTCTATCGGTAACTGAGTTCACTGACCTCCCCAGTGTCCAAGAACAGCTCTCCTCTGTAATGAGCACAGTGCCAGTGAGGGCCCCATCTGTGACACCAATAGTACCTGGTAAGAAAGTGACTGATTTTTACCTTCAAAAAGCATGGTAGGATGCAACATGAACTGCATTAAAGCGTATTTTACTAAGTTGAGGTCAGCCGGTGCCACTTTGACAAAACAGGTTTGCCTGCAATTTGTTAAGTAAGGTGTAAACATGGAGGTTAGCTTTCGTCATATGACTTTCACATCGGAAACGTTTTCAACACATGAACCTAAATATGTCTGAATTTCTATGTTCCCTAGTGGAGAGAAAGGCACCAGGAAAGGATGTTGTGTTCTTGTTGGATGGATCTGATAGTACTAGAAGTGGATTCCCAGCTATGCGAGACTTTGTCCAAAGAGTAGTAGAGACACTCAGTGTGGATGACAACAAAGACCGTGTCTCAGTGGTTCAGTACAGCAGAGATCCAGCTGTCCAGTTTTATCTGAACACGTACACCACAAAAGCCGAGATCCTCGACACTGTCAGAGGTTTGAGGCACAAAGGCGGAAGGCCCCTCAACACTGGAGCAGCCCTCCAGTACCTGGGGGATAATGTCTTCACGGCCTCTGCCGGAAGCAGGCGCCCGGAAGGAGTTCCACAGGTCCTAATATTGCTAAGTGGTGGAAGGTCTTTTGACAGTGTTGATGCACCAGCCTCTGCTCTCAAACAGCTGGGTGTCTTGATCTTTGCAATTGGAACCAGGAGTGCTGATAGCAGACAACTGCAGGAGATATCAAACGATCCCAGTTATGCTCTCTCTGTGTCTGAATTCACCGACCTTCCCAGTGTCCAACAGCAACTTCAGTCCTCCGTGGAGGCTGTGGTTATTGACGCCTCCCCAGAATCACCAACAGTCACTGGTATGTTAACAAGCACAGCCTCTTGCTGGCCTGAAAGGCTACCTGACCTGTTTAACCTAGATTGAGAGAAAAGAAAAGAATTAAGTTTGATACGTGTTTAGCTCCACATGAGTATTTAAAGATAGTTGGTGGTCTGCATAGCTACTCTTTACAATTAAAGAAGTCAGTGCTAGGTTCTTTCACAAAGAAAAACAGAAATAAATCGTCCACCACTTGATGACTAGTCCAGTAGCGCAGTCTTTGAAAAGGTGTTTATTTTTTTGTCTTCCTGTCTTTTCTCAGTTGACACTGCCAAAAAAGATATCGTGTTCCTTCTGGATGGTTCTGATTCCACAAGGTATGGCTTCCCCGCCATGCGTGAGTTTGTTGAGAGAGTTGTGGAGAAACTCAATGTGGGACAAAACAAAGACCGTGTCTCTGTGGTCCAGTACAGCAGAGATGCAGAGGTCAATTTCTATCTGAACACGTACACCACAAGAGAGGATGTTTTGGATTCGGTCAGAGGGCTGAAACACAGAGGAGGCAGGCCCCTCAACACCGGGGCAGCCCTCCAATACGTCAGGGACAACGTCTTTACAAACTCCTCCGGGAGTAGACGCCTGCAAGGTGTTCCACAGATGTTGATCCTGCTAAATGGCGGAAGGTCTTTTGACAATGTAGATACCCCAGCCTCTGCTCTCAAACAGCAGGGCGTCGTTGTGATTGGCATTGGAACAAGGGGCTCTGACAAGAGTGAACTGCAGAAGATATCATATGACCCTAGTTACGCTCTATCGGTAACTGAGTTCACTGACCTCCCCAGTGTCCAAGAACAGCTCTCCTCTGTAATGAGCACAGTGCCAGTGAGGGCCCCATCTGTGACACCAATAGTACCTGGTAAGAAAGTGACTGATTTTTACCTTCCAAAAGCATGGTAGGATGCAACATGAACTGCATTAAAGCGTATTTTACTAAGTTGAGGTCAGCCGGTGCCACTTTGACAAAACAGGTTTGCCTGCAATTTGTTAAGTAAGGTGTAAACATGGAGGTTAGCTTTCGTCATATGACTTTCACATCGGAAACGTTTTCAACACATGAACCTAAATATGTCTGAATTTCTATGTTCCCTAGTGGAGAGAAAGGCACCAGGAAAGGATGTTGTGTTCTTGTTGGATGGATCTGATAGTACTAGAAGTGGATTCCCAGCTATGCGAGACTTTGTCCAAAGAGTAGTAGAGACACTCAGTGTGGATGACAACAAAGACCGTGTCTCAGTGGTTCAGTACAGCAGAGATCCAGCTGTCCAGTTTTATCTGAACACGTACACCACAAAAGCCGAGATCCTCGACACTGTCAGAGGTTTGAGGCACAAAGGCGGAAGGCCCCTCAACACTGGAGCAGCCCTCCAGTACCTGGGGGATAATGTCTTCACGGCCTCTGCCGGAAGCAGGCGCCCGGAAGGAGTTCCACAGGTCCTAATATTGCTAAGTGGTGGAAGGTCTTTTGACAGTGTTGATGCACCAGCCTCTGCTCTCAAACAGCTGGGTGTCTTGATCTTTGCAATTGGAACCAGGAGTGCTGATAGCAGACAACTGCAGGAGATATCAAACGATCCCAGTTATGCTCTCTCTGTGTCTGAATTCACCGACCTTCCCAGTGTCCAACAGCAACTTCAGTCCTCCGTGGAGGCTGTGGTTATTGACGCCTCCCCAGAATCACCAACAGTCACTGGTATGTTAACAAGCACAGCCTCTTGCTGGCCTGAAAGGCTACCTGACCTGTTTAACCTAGATTGAGAGAAAAGAAAAGAATTAAGTTTGATACGTGTTTAGCTCCACATGAGTATTTAAAGATAGTTGGTGGTCTGCATAGCTACTCTTTACAATTAAAGAAGTCAGTGCTAGGTTCTTTCACAAAGAAAAACAGAAATAAATCGTCCACCACTTGATGACTAGTCCAGTAGCGCAGTCTTTGAAAAGGTGTTTATTTTTTTGTCTTCCTGTCTTTTCTCAGTTGACACTGCCAAAAAGATATCGTGTTCCTTCTGGATGGTTCTGATTCCACAAGGTATGGCTTCCCCGCCATGCGTGAGTTTGTTGAGAGAGTTGTGGAGAAACTCAATGTGGGACAAAACAAAGACCGTGTCTCTGTGGTCCAGTACAGCAGAGATGCAGAGGTCAATTTCTATCTGAACACGTACACCACAAGAGAGGATGTTTTGGATTCGGTCAGAGGGCTGAAACACAGAGGAGGCAGACCCCTCAACACCGGGGCAGCCCTCCAATACGTCAGGGACAACGTCTTTACAAACTCCTCCGGGAGTAGACGCCTGCAAGGTGTTCCACAGATGTTGATCCTGCTAAATGGCGGAAGGTCTTTTGACAATGTAGATACCCCAGCCTCTGCTCTCAAACAGCAGGGCGTCGTTGTGATTGGCATTGGAACAAGGGGCTCTGACAAGAGTGAACTGCAGAAGATATCATATGACCCTAGTTACGCTCTATCGGTAACTGAGTTCACTGACCTCCCCAGTGTCCAAGAACAGCTCTCCTCTGTAATGAGCACAGTGCCAGTGAGGGCCCCATCTGTGACACCAATAGTACCTGGTAAGAAAGTGACTGATTTTTACCTTCAAAAAGCATGGTAGGATGCAACATGAACTGCATTAAAGCGTATTTTACTAAGTTGAGGTCAGCCGGTGCCACTTTGACAAAACAGGTTTGCCTGCAATTTGTTAAGTAAGGTGTAAACATGGAGGTTAGCTTTCGTCATATGACTTTCACATCGGAAACGTTTTCAACACATGAACCTAAATATGTCTGAATTTCTATGTTCCCTAGTGGAGAGAAAGGCACCAGGAAAGGATGTTGTGTTCTTGTTGGATGGATCTGATAGTACTAGAAGTGGATTCCCAGCTATGCGAGACTTTGTCCAAAGAGTAGTAGAGACACTCAGTGTGGATGACAACAAAGACCGTGTCTCAGTGGTTCAGTACAGCAGAGATCCAGCTGTCCAGTTTTATCTGAACACGTACACCACAAAAGCCGAGATCCTCGACACTGTCAGAGGTTTGAGGCACAAAGGCGGAAGGCCCCTCAACACTGGAGCAGCCCTCCAGTACCTGGGGGATAATGTCTTCACGGCCTCTGCCGGAAGCAGGCGCCCGGAAGGAGTTCCACAGGTCCTAATATTGCTAAGTGGTGGAAGGTCTTTTGACAGTGTTGATGCACCAGCCTCTGCTCTCAAACAGCTGGGTGTCTTGATCTTTGCAATTGGAACCAGGAGTGCTGATAGCAGACAACTGCAGGAGATATCAAACGATCCCAGTTATGCTCTCTCTGTGTCTGAATTCACCGACCTTCCCAGTGTCCAACAGCAACTTCAGTCCTCCGTGGAGGCTGTGGTTATTGACGCCTCCCCAGAATCACCAACAGTCACTGGTATGTTAACAAGCACAGCCTCTTGCTGGCCTGAAAGGCTACCTGACCTGTTTAACCTAGATTGAGAGAAAAGAAAAGAATTAAGTTTGATACGTGTTTAGCTCCACATGAGTATTTAAAGATAGTTGGTGGTCTGCATAGCTACTCTTTACAATTAAAGAAGTCAGTGCTAGGTTCTTTCACAAAGAAAAACAGAAATAAATCGTCCACCACTTGATGACTAGTCCAGTAGCGCAGTCTTTGAAAAGGTGTTTATTTTTTTTGTCTTCCTGTCTTTTCTCAGTTGACACTGCCAAAAAAGATATCGTGTTCCTTCTGGATGGTTCTGATTCCACAAGGTATGGCTTCCCCGCCATGCGTGAGTTTGTTGAGAGAGTTGTGGAGAAACTCAATGTGGGACAAAACAAAGACCGTGTCTCTGTGGTCCAGTACAGCAGAGATGCAGAGGTCAATTTCTATCTGAACACGTACACCACAAGAGAGGATGTTTTGGATTCGGTCAGAGGGCTGAAACACAGAGGAGGCAGGCCCCTCAACACCGGGGCAGCCCTCCAATACGTCAGGGACAACGTCTTTACAAACTCCTCCGGGAGTAGACGCCTGCAAGGTGTTCCACAGATGTTGATCCTGCTAAATGGCGGAAGGTCTTTTGACAATGTAGATACCCCAGCCTCTGCTCTCAAACAGCAGGGCGTCGTTGTGATTGGCATTGGAACAAGGGGCTCTGACAAGAGTGAACTGCAGAAGATATCATATGACCCTAGTTACGCTCTATCGGTAACTGAGTTCACTGACCTCCCCAGTGTCCAAGAACAGCTCTCCTCTGTAATGAGCACAGTGCCAGTGAGGGCCCCATCTGTGACACCAATAGTACCTGGTAAGAAAGTGACTGATTTTTACCTTCAAAAAGCATGGTAGGATGCAACATGAACTGCATTAAAGCGTATTTTACTAAGTTGAGGTCAGCCGGTGCCACTTTGACAAAACAGGTTTGCCTGCAATTTGTTAAGTAAGGTGTAAACATGGAGGTTAGCTTTCGTCATATGACTTTCACATCGGAAACGTTTTCAACACATGAACCTAAATATGTCTGAATTTCTATGTTCCCTAGTGGAGAGAAAGGCACCAGGAAAGGATGTTGTGTTCTTGTTGGATGGATCTGATAGTACTAGAAGTGGATTCCCAGCTATGCGAGACTTTGTCCAAAGAGTAGTAGAGACACTCAGTGTGGATGACAACAAAGACCGTGTCTCAGTGGTTCAGTACAGCAGAGATCCAGCTGTCCAGTTTTATCTGAACACGTACACCACAAAAGCCGAGATCCTCGACACTGTCAGAGGTTTGAGGCACAAAGGCGGAAGGCCCCTCAACACTGGAGCAGCCCTCCAGTACCTGGGGGATAATGTCTTCACGGCCTCTGCCGGAAGCAGGCGCCCGGAAGGAGTTCCACAGGTCCTAATATTGCTAAGTGGTGGAAGGTCTTTTGACAGTGTTGATGCACCAGCCTCTGCTCTCAAACAGCTGGGTGTCTTGATCTTTGCAATTGGAACCAGGAGTGCTGATAGCAGACAACTGCAGGAGATATCAAACGATCCCAGTTATGCTCTCTCTGTGTCTGAATTCACCGACCTTCCCAGTGTCCAACAGCAACTTCAGTCCTCCGTGGAGGCTGTGGTTATTGACGCCTCCCCAGAATCACCAACAGTCACTGGTATGTTAACAAGCACAGCCTCTTGCTGGCCTGAAAGGCTACCTGACCTGTTTAACCTAGATTGAGAGAAAAGAAAAGAATTAAGTTTGATACGTGTTTAGCTCCACATGAGTATTTAAAGATAGTTGGTGGTCTGCATAGCTACTCTTTACAATTAAAGAAGTCAGTGCTAGGTTCTTTCAAAAAGAAAAACAGAAATAAATCGTCCACCACTTGATGACTAGTCCAGTAGCGCAGTCTTTGAAAAGGTGTTTATTTTTTTTGTCTTCCTGTCTTTTCTCAGTTGACACTGCCAAAAAGATATCGTGTTCCTTCTGGATGGTTCTGATTCCACAAGGTATGGCTTCCCCGCCATGCGTGAGTTTGTTGAGAGAGTTGTGGAGAAACTCAATGTGGGACAAAACAAAGACCGTGTCTCTGTGGTCCAGTACAGCAGAGATGCAGAGGTCAATTTCTATCTGAACACGTACACCACAAGAGAGGATGTTTTGGATTCGGTCAGAGGGCTGAAACACAGAGGAGGCAGACCCCTCAACACCGGGGCAGCCCTCCAATACGTCAGGGACAACGTCTTTACAAACTCCTCCGGGAGTAGACGCCTGCAAGGTGTTCCACAGATGTTGATCCTGCTAAATGGCGGAAGGTCTTTTGACAATGTAGATACCCCAGCCTCTGCTCTCAAACAGCAGGGCGTCGTTGTGATTGGCATTGGAACAAGGGGCTCTGACAAGAGTGAACTGCAGAAGATATCATATGACCCTAGTTACGCTCTATCGGTAACTGAGTTCACTGACCTCCCCAGTGTCCAAGAACAGCTCTCCTCTGTAATGAGCACAGTGCCAGTGAGGGCCCCATCTGTGACACCAATAGTACCTGGTAAGAAAGTGACTGATTTTTACCTTCAAAAAGCATGGTAGGATGCAACATGAACTGCATTAAAGCGTATTTTACTAAGTTGAGGTCAGCCGGTGCCACTTTGACAAAACAGGTTTGCCTGCAATTTGTTAAGTAAGGTGTAAACATGGAGGTTAGCTTTCGTCATATGACTTTCACATCGGAAACATTTTCAACACATGAACCTAAATATGTCTGAATTTCTATGTTCCCTAGTGGAGAGAAAGGCACCAGGAAAGGATGTTGTGTTCTTGTTGGATGGATCTGATAGTACTAGAAGTGGATTCCCAGCTATGCGAGACTTTGTCCAAAGAGTAGTAGAGACACTCAGTGTGGATGACAACAAAGACCGTGTCTCAGTGGTTCAGTACAGCAGAGATCCAGCTGTCCAGTTTTATCTGAACACGTACACCACAAAAGCCGAGATCCTCGACACTGTCAGAGGTTTGAGGCACAAAGGCGGAAGGCCCCTCAACACTGGAGCAGCCCTCCAGTACCTGGGGGATAATGTCTTCACGGCCTCTGCCGGAAGCAGGCGCCCGGAAGGAGTTCCACAGGTCCTAATATTGCTAAGTGGTGGAAGGTCTTTTGACAGTGTTGATGCACCAGCCTCTGCTCTCAAACAGCTGGGTGTCTTGATCTTTGCAATTGGAACCAGGAGTGCTGATAGCAGACAACTGCAGGAGATATCAAACGATCCCAGTTATGCTCTCTCTGTGTCTGAATTCACCGACCTTCCCAGTGTCCAACAGCAACTTCAGTCCTCCGTGGAGGCTGTGGTTATTGACGCCTCCCCAGAATCACCAACAGTCACTGGTATGTTAACAAGCACAGCCTCTTGCTGGCCTGAAAGGCTACCTGACCTGTTTAACCTAGATTGAGAGAAAAGAAAAGAATTAAGTTTGATACGTGTTTAGCTCCACATGAGTATTTAAAGATAGTTGGTGGTCTGCATAGCTACTCTTTACAATTAAAGAAGTCAGTGCTAGGTTCTTTCAAAAAGAAAAACAGAAATAAATCGTCCACCACTTGATGACTAGTCCAGTAGCGCAGTCTTTGAAAAGGTGTTTATTTTTTTTGTCTTCCTGTCTTTTCTCAGTTGACACTGCCAAAAAGATATCGTGTTCCTTCTGGATGGTTCTGATTCCACAAGGTATGGCTTCCCCGCCATGCGTGAGTTTGTTGAGAGAGTTGTGGAGAAACTCAATGTGGGACAAAACAAAGACCGTGTCTCTGTGGTCCAGTACAGCAGAGATGCAGAGGTCAATTTCTATCTGAACACGTACACCACAAGAGAGGATGTTTTGGATTCGGTCAGAGGGCTGAAACACAGAGGAGGCAGACCCCTCAACACCGGGGCAGCCCTCCAATACGTCAGGGACAACGTCTTTACAAACTCCTCCGGGAGTAGACGCCTGCAAGGTGTTCCACAGATGTTGATCCTGCTAAATGGCGGAAGGTCTTTTGACAATGTAGATACCCCAGCCTCTGCTCTCAAACAGCAGGGCGTCGTTGTGATTGGCATTGGAACAAGGGGCTCTGACAAGAGTGAACTGCAGAAGATATCATATGACCCTAGTTACGCTCTATCGGTAACTGAGTTCACTGACCTCCCCAGTGTCCAAGAACAGCTCTCCTCTGTAATGAGCACAGTGCCAGTGAGGGCCCCATCTGTGACACCAATAGTACCTGGTAAGAAAGTGACTGATTTTTACCTTCCAAAAGCATGGTAGGATGCAACATGAACTGCATTAAAGCGTATTTTACTAAGTTGAGGTCAGCCGGTGCCACTTTGACAAAACAGGTTTGCCTGCAATTTGTTAAGTAAGGTGTAAACATGGAGGTTAGCTTTCGTCATATGACTTTCACATCGGAAACGTTTTCAACACATGAACCTAAATATGTCTGAATTTCTATGTTCCCTAGTGGAGAGAAAGGCACCAGGAAAGGATGTTGTGTTCTTGTTGGATGGATCTGATAGTACTAGAAGTGGATTCCCAGCTATGCGAGACTTTGTCCAAAGAGTAGTAGAGACACTCAGTGTGGATGACAACAAAGACCGTGTCTCAGTGGTTCAGTACAGCAGAGATCCAGCTGTCCAGTTTTATCTGAACACGTACACCACAAAAGCCGAGATCCTCGACACTGTCAGAGGTTTGAGGCACAAAGGCGGAAGGCCCCTCAACACTGGAGCAGCCCTCCAGTACCTGGGGGATAATGTCTTCACGGCCTCTGCCGGAAGCAGGCGCCCGGAAGGAGTTCCACAGGTCCTAATATTGCTAAGTGGTGGAAGGTCTTTTGACAGTGTTGATGCACCAGCCTCTGCTCTCAAACAGCTGGGTGTCTTGATCTTTGCAATTGGAACCAGGAGTGCTGATAGCAGACAACTGCAGGAGATATCAAACGATCCCAGTTATGCTCTCTCTGTGTCTGAATTCACCGACCTTCCCAGTGTCCAACAGCAACTTCAGTCCTCCGTGGAGGCTGTGGTTATTGACGCCTCCCCAGAATCACCAACAGTCACTGGTATGTTAACAAGCACAGCCTCTTGCTGGCCTGAAAGGCTACCTGACCTGTTTAACCTAGATTGAGAGAAAAGAAAAGAATTAAGTTTGATACGTGTTTAGCTCCACATGAGTATTTAAAGATAGTTGGTGGTCTGCATAGCTACTCTTTACAATTAAAGAAGTCAGTGCTAGGTTCTTTCACAAAGAAAAACAGAAATAAATCGTCCACCACTTGATGACTAGTCCAGTAGCGCAGTCTTTGAAAAGGTGTTTATTTTTTTGTCTTCCTGTCTTTTCTCAGTTGACACTGCCAAAAAGATATCGTGTTCCTTCTGGATGGTTCTGATTCCACAAGGTATGGCTTCCCCGCCATGCGTGAGTTTGTTGAGAGAGTTGTGGAGAAACTCAATGTGGGACAAAACAAAGACCGTGTCTCTGTGGTCCAGTACAGCAGAGATGCAGAGGTCAATTTCTATCTGAACACGTACACCACAAGAGAGGATGTTTTGGATTCGGTCAGAGGGCTGAAACACAGAGGAGGCAGACCCCCTCAACACCGGGGCAGCCCTCCAATACGTCAGGGACAACGTCTTTACAAACTCCTCCGGGAGTAGACGCCTGCAAGGTGTTCCACAGATGTTGATCCTGCTAAATGGCGGAAGGTCTTTTGACAATGTAGATACCCCAGCCTCTGCTCTCAAACAGCAGGGCGTCGTTGTGATTGGCATTGGAACAAGGGGCTCTGACAAGAGTGAACTGCAGAACATATCATATGACCCTAGTTACGCTCTATCGGTAACTGAGTTCACTGACCTCCCCAGTGTCCAAGAACAGCTCTCCTCTGTAATGAGCACAGTGCCAGTGAGGGCCCCATCTGTGACACCAATAGTACCTGGTAAGAAAGTGACTGATTTTTACCTTCCAAAAGCATGGTAGGATGCAACATGAACTGCATTAAAGCGTATTTTACTAAGTTGAGGTCAGCCGGTGCCACTTTGACAAAACAGGTTTGCCTGCAATTTGTTAAGTAAGGTGTAAACATGGAGGTTAGCTTTCGTCATATGACTTTCACATCGGAAACGTTTTCAACACATGAACCTAAATATGTCTGAATTTCTATGTTCCCTAGTGGAGAGAAAGGCACAAGGAAAGGATGTTGTGTTCTTGTTGGATGGATCTGATAGTACTAGAAGTGGATTCCCAGCTATGCGAGACTTTGTCCAAAGAGTAGTAGAGACACTCAGTGTGGATGACAACAAAGACCGTGTCTCAGTGGTTCAGTACAGCAGAGATCCAGCTGTCCAGTTTTATCTGAACACGTACACCACAAAAGCCGAGATCCTCGACACTGTCAGAGGTTTGAGGCACAAAGGCGGAAGGCCCCTCAACACTGGAGCAGCCCTCCAGTACCTGGGGGATAATGTCTTCACGGCCTCTGCCGGAAGCAGGCGCCCGGAAGGAGTTCCACAGGTCTTAATATTGCTAAGTGGTGGAAGGTCTTTTGACAGTGTTGATGCACCAGCCTCTGCTCTCAAACAGCTGGGTGTCTTGATCTTTGCAATTGGAACCAGGAGTGCTGATAGCAGACAACTGCAGGAGATATCAAACGATCCCAGTTATGCTCTCTCTGTGTCTGAATTCACCGACCTTCCCAGTGTCCAACAGCAACTTCAGTCCTCCGTGGAGGCTGTGGTTATTGACGCCTCCCCAGAATCACCAACAGTCACTGGTATGTTAACAAGCACAGCCTCTTGCTGGCCTGAAAGGCTACCTGACCTGTTTAACCTAGATTGAGAGAAAAGAAAAGAATTAAGTTTGATACGTGTTTAGCTCCACATGAGTATTTAAAGATAGTTGGTGGTCTGCATAGCTACTCTTTACAATTAAAGAAGTCAGTGCTAGGTTCTTTCACAAAGAAAAACAGAAATAAATCGTCCACCACTTGATGACTAGTCCAGTAGCGCAGTCTTTGAAAAGGTGTTTATTTTTTTTGTCTTCCTGTCTTTTCTCAGTTGACACTGCCAAAAAAGATATCGTGTTCCTTCTGGATGGTTCTGATTCCACAAGGTATGGCTTCCCCGCCATGCGTGAGTTTGTTGAGAGAGTTGTGGAGAAACTCAATGTGGGACAAAACAAAGACCGTGTCTCTGCGGTCCAGTACAGCAGAGATGCAGAGGTCAATTTCTATCTGAACACGTACACCACAAGAGAGGATGTTTTGGATTCGGTCAGAGGGCTGAAACACAGAGGAGGCAGACCCCTCAATACCGGGGCAGCCCTCCAATACGTCAGGGACAACGTCTTTACAAACTCCTCCGGGAGTAGACGCCTGCAAGGTGTTCCACAGATGTTGATCCTGCTAAATGGCGGAAGGTCTTTTGACAATGTAGATACCCCAGCCTCTGCTCTCAAACAGCAGGGCGTCGTTGTGATTGGCATTGGAACAAGGGGCTCTGACAAGAGTGAACTGCAGAAGATATCATATGACCCTAGTTACGCTCTATCGGTAACTGAGTTCACTGACCTCCCCAGTGTCCAAGAACAGCTCTCCTCTGTAATGAGCAGAGTGCAAGTGAGGGCCCCATCTGTGACACCAATAGTACCTGGTAAGAAAGTTACTGATTTTTACCTTCAAAAAGCATGGTAGGATGCAACATGAACTGTATTAAAGCGTATTTTACTAAGTTGAGGTCAGCTGGTGCCACTTTGACAAAAGAAGTTTGCCTGCAATTTGTTAAGTAAGGTGTAAACATGGAGGTTAGCTTTCATCATATGACTTTCACATCGGAAACGTTTTCAACACATGAACCTAAATATGTCTGAATTTCTATGTTCCCTAGTGGAGAGAAAGGCTCCAGGAAAGGATGTTGTGTTTTTGTTGGATGGATCTGATAGTACTAGAAGTGGATTCCCAGCTATGCGAGACTTTGTCCAAAGAGTAGTAGAGACACTAAGTGTGGATGACAACAAAGACCAGGTCTCAGTGGTTCAGTACAGCAGAGATCCAGCTGTCCAGTTCTACCTGAACACGTACACCACAAAAGCCGAGATCCTCGACACTGTCAGAGGTTTGAGGCACAAAGGGGGAAGGCCCCTCAACACTGGAGCAGCCCTCCAGTACCTGGGGGATAATGTCTTCACGGCCTCTGCCGGAAGCAGGCGTCAGGAAGGAGTTCCACAGGTCCTAATATTGCTAAGTAGTGGAAGGTCTTTTGACAGTGTTGATGCACCAGCCTCTGCTCTCAAACAGCTGGGTGTCTTGATCTTTGCAATTGGAACCAGGAGTGCTGATAGCAGACAACTGCAGGAGATATCAAACGATCCCAGTTATGCTCTCTCTGTGTCTGAATTCACCGACCTTCCCAGTGTCCAACAGCAACTTCAGTCCTCTGTGGAGACTGTGGTTATTGACGCCTCCCCAGAATCACCAACAGTCCCTGGTATGTTAACAAGCACAGCCTCTTTCTTGATATTTTGAACATTTTATGTTCCCTATTCACCAGGAAAGGATGTTGTGTTCCTTTTGGATGGATCTGATTGAACTGTTTGCTTTCATACAGACATCGCAGCGTTGTTAAATTCATGTTTTTTAAATACACCTCCTATACGAGAAGTGCTGCAATGCATCCCACTACTATTCAGCATTTCCCTTTGCTTTGATTATTTTGATCTAAACACTCAAATATTAAGCTGCCACAAGTTGAACCTCACCTCCCCCTTTGTTAGTGGGTGTAAGACCAGTCAATTACTTCTCTGTTTTGTAACAGTTCTTTTGAACAATGCCTGGTTCCCTTTGTCTAATTGTAATTTTGTCTATGATTGCATTCCATCCAACTTCATTCGTAAAAGTTTTCACCTTGAAGTGCATTGTTATGCTCCCACCACTGAACACAACTTCACCCTAATGAACCTTCTTTTTTGTAGTTTTTAATATGTTGCAATTATTAAGTGTTCATGTATTGTAATCTTTTAACTGCCATTATTTTGGCATAGAAAATATTCTCTCAGTTTGGCCAAGACGAAGAGAAGCACTCTTCAAACAACAGGGACATACTTGAGTCTGAGGATGCTATTGATTCTGAGTCTTGGCAAAACAAGTTGCAACGTTCATCTCACAAATTCATACCCGCAGTCTTTCCTATGCCAGAAAAATAATTCTCTTTTTCATCTCATCCATATTCTTAACGTTTTTTTATTCTATTCAGGTTTCTTCTTTTTATTATTTTTCATTTCGATCCACATCCACAACTTTTATCACTATGTCTTTGTAAAATAATGTTGCGTCTGTGGAAGAGAGCACTCATTATTTCTATTTCAAACATTGTCAAGAGTCTGTCTTCTTACATTCAAGAAGTTCTTTGGAATGATGTTCATTCATCTTTTCATTTCCTTTGGCTTATTTCATTTTTGAAATATGCACCAAATTACAGGATATTGGTTTTATCATGGACGGAGAGCCCCATAAACAACTTTAGTTGTATTCACAATAGGCACAGACAGCTGAATATTATCATCATTAAGTTGGTAGCCCAAGGAATGATGCATACTGTGTTTATATGTAATCAGCAAAAAAAAAAGCTAACATACATTTTTAAGACATACATGATATTTAAACCACATGCTACAGTTAATACAAGAAAAAAAGAAATAATTGGCTTCCTGCCTTAATCATTGTACATATTAGCCAACTCAAAAGTCTGGTAATAAATAGGATATGATTTATTGTAGTGTTTTAAATTAAATTGGATTTGTGTTGTTTTCTGCTAATGGTTTAAAAAGTGTAATTTGGGAAAAAAACTATCCCTTCTCATTTGTGCAGTCTGGTTGGCTTGACAATTGACGTTGTGAATTCAGCTTTGACACTCAAGACATGAAAGTTGGCTGCAAAAGAGCTTGCATACATATGCTGCGTTGTTGGAAAACTAAACTCACAGGCACACTGTCTGATTGAAGGATAATATCAGCCTTCACTATATTTTATTTTATCTAATAAATGACAAATATGCAACAGCATAGAAATTAGTATACACATAAAATTAAATTAAGAAATAAAGTGAAGAATTTTATATTTTATTTTTATATTTTAATAAAAAAAGAATTTTTGAAGTGGTTTATATGGTAGGAATTATACCACAGCCAAAGAGTCAGTGCTGTGGATGCTCCACTATGTGAGAAAGTTGTCTGAAAGATGATGAAAATAGGGTTGTTGGGTTAATCTCCATATTTGACAAAATATTCCTTGAAACTTTGGGACCAAAGAAAGATGTGGATCTAAGGTAATGAAAAACTTGAAAAAAAAAAGTTGTGAGATATAGGCAGAATTCTCTAAGCTCCTGTTGATATCCATCCGCTAATTTTTTCTCAACAATTTTGATTTTTATTGTCATTCAGATTTTATGATGCAAGAAGACACTGTTCACTACAGTTCAAGAAACCCTGTTACCACAAATCAAGACAAGAAGATGTCCAACAGTCTGTTAAAAGGCTGTTATGCATCAGTTATAATTGCTGCTGTAATTTTCCTTTGAGTATTGGTTCTGTGTTTGATCATTTCTGTAGCAGAACATAATATTGTATTTTCTCTTTCTCTTTCAGCTGAGTCGCAGGGCCCCCGGAAGGATGTCATTTTCCTTGTTGATGGATCTGATGGTGTTGGACGGGAATTTCCTATCATCCAGGAGTTTATCCGCAGGGTTGTGGATAGTCTTAATGTGGGCGAGAATAAGATCCGGATTGGTGTGGTCCAGTATGGCGACTATGCTCAGGCTGACATGTATCTGAACACACATACAACCAAAGAAGGTGTTTTGAATGGTGTCAGGGGAATGAGGCAACGAAGAGGAAGACAACGTAACCTGGGTCAGGCCTTGCAGTTTGTCAGTCAGGATATTCTGACAGCAGCACGTGGTAGCAGAAAGGAAGAGGGTGTACCACAGTTTTTAATTGTCGTCTCCAGTGGGTCTTCAACAGATGACATCAGTCGAGCAGCCACTTCCCTTAAACAATCTAGAGTTCTTCCCTTCAGCATTGGGACCAGGGATGTTAACCGTAGGGAGCTCCAGGTGGTGTCATACGTGCCTAACTTTGCCTTCACTGTAGATGACCTCCCTGGCCTGTACACAGTCCAAGAAAACCTAATCAACACTCTCACTGAGATGTCAGATGATGACATCGCCAGGATGCGTCCAGTATTCCCAACCACTGAAGGTAATTTTACTCTATCAAAGTCTAAAAAGTTATTTACAGCTTAACCACATTTTCACACATTTGACTTAATACATGATAATTGCCCCTCCCAGTCATACTGTATGTCCTCTATATTTGTTAGGAACTCTGCAGTTTGTAATCATACAATGTTACTGTGCTTTCATTCTTGCTGAGCAGAAACCACACCAGCACCAGTGGGAGGCGACAAGAGGGATGTCGTATTTCTAATTGATGGCACGACAGCGGTGCGTAGCGAGTTCCCCTCCATCCGTGAAATGATAAAAAGAGTCGTGGACAAGCTGGATGTAGGATTGGACAAGGTCCGAGTTTCAGTGGTGCAGTACAGTGATGACCCAAAGTTAGAATTTCTTTTGAATAATTTCTCCACCAAAGAAGAGGTACGCCAAGCTGTGACAAAACTTCGAAGCATAGGTGGTAACCGTCTAAACACAGGCCGTGCTCTTGAGTGGGTCTCCAGAAACATTTACCAGAGGTCAGCAGGAAGCCGCATTGAGGATGGTGTGCCTCAGTTCCTCATTCTAGTTACAGGTGGCAAGTCTACAGATGATGTGTCCACTGCAGCTGACCAACTTAAGAGAAACCAGGTTGCACCTCTTGCCATTGGTTCAAGGAATGCAGATCCTGATGAACTGAGACAGATTTCCCTGAGGCCCGAACTTGTATACACAGTTGATAGTTTCCAGCAGCTTCCAAGAGTGGAAACACAGCTGATTAATTCAGTCAAAACAATATCTACCACTGATATCACCAATTATGTTCCTCCCACAGTCTTCAGAGGTAAGAAATCCTGTTCTTAGTATTCAAGGTTTAAGTGTTCAAAGTATTAACTGGTTGCTTTTTAGAATAGTTTTTCATTACCCATATAACTGAATAAAATGCATCATAGTGCACTGGTTGTGTAGGGGTAAAGTTCCTGTCAACGACTACAAAGCCCTGGAGCTTGATTCTGTTATGGAGTTCTGTTATAGTGGTAGAAATGAAAAAAAATGAAATAAAATAAATGCATCAGTCTTTTTCTAATATACTTCAGAATAAACGAATAAATGTCTCCCTTTCCCTGTCTTGTGTTTATTTTGCAGAAATCCTAGATCTTGGGAAAAAGGACATACTCTTCCTCATTGATGGCTCAGACAACACAGGTGCTGCTGGAATTGCTCATATCCGTGACTTCATCCTCAATATTGTGCAACAACTTGATGTGCAGCCTGATCAAGTGCGTGTGGCTGTCGTCCAGTATGCAGACAGAGTAAAAACAGAGTTCTCACTCAACTCACACAACAACAAGCAAGCTGTTGTCTCTGCTATCAAACGACTTCGTCAGATGGGTGGCAGGTCATCAGATCTGGCTGACGCCATTAAGTATGTTATGGAGAATGAGTTAAAACCCTCCTCCGGGGTTCGTCTGGCTGAGGCCTCACAGCATCTTGTAGTTCTCACAGGTGGACGTTCCTCCCAAGATGTTTCCATTTATGGACCTCAGCTTAAGGATTCCAGGGTCAACTGCATTGGTGTTGGAGCTGGTGGTACTAACACAAAGCAGCTAACCCAAATTGCCACCACCTCAGAGGATGTCCTTCAGGTTCCTACATTCCCTGGCCTGCCAGCAATCAAGGACAGGTTTATTACCAGGTTGAAAGGGAACATCCCAGTCATTGACACAAATATTGACTCTTTCAACGGTGGTTCTGGTAGGTTATGCAGAAATTTACACAAACCAATAATACTAAGATAGCATGTTTTATCTTAAACTAATTATATGGCCTTGGAATGCTAAAATCATGAATCGCTTTTTCTCCATTTCTTCTCTTGTTCTCCTCTTTCTTTACCCTGCCCTCTTCAATATCTCACCTTCCTTGTCATACATTCAGACCTGCCTCCACCCAAAAAGGCTGACATAGTGTTTTTAGTGGATGGCTCCATTAACTTGGGCAGGGACAACTTCAATGAAGTGATGATGTTTATCACCAACCTAATTGATCTGTTCTACACTGAGAGAGACAACCTGCGGATTGGTCTGGCACATTACGCCGCAGATGTGACGGATGTCTTCTACCTCAACACATACAAGGACAGGCAAGCCATTATAGATGCTATCGGTCAAGCAGAGTACAAAGGTGGAAATAAAATCAACACTGGTGCAGCCATTCGTCACATTCAAGACGTTTACTTTACAAAAGAGAAAGGCAGTAGGGTGGATGAGGGCACTCCTCAGATCCTAATGGTTATCACCGGAGGAAGCTCAGCTGATGACAGCAAAACAGCAGCCCTTGGTCTGAAGAAAAAGGGTGTGAGAATTTTTGCTGTAGGAGTGGGCGACACTGAGGATGAGTTAGAAAACCTAGCAAGCGAGTCCACCACAGTGGCTCGAGCAAGAACCATTCAGGAACTTTCAGAGCTCAATGAGCAAATCCTGGAGACTATGGATGATGAAGTGAAGGGCAAGCTGTGTGTTGGTGCTCCAGAAACTTCTAAAAGTAAGTGATAGTTTTTTTTTCTTACAAATGGACTTGAGTTGTTTCACATTTGATTTGCAGCTTATAATTCAATGTTTCAGTTTCCAGATGTTTTATGTGGTTCACAAAAATGCCTAAAATATAACCATGCTCTGTTTTACAGCCTGTGAGATAGAGGTGTTGGTGGGCTTTGATGTTTCTGCTCAGAACATCTTCAGTGCTCAGACCAATCTCCAGAGTAAGATGGGTGCCATTCTGCAGAGAATTTCCAAAATGGCAGCTATCAGTTGTTCATCTGGACAGATTCCTTCTGTGCAAGTGGGCATGCTGGCCATGGACTCTGCCTCTGAGCCTGTCCAACTGGACTTCACAAACAATGCTGATGAACTCTTTGAAGTCTTCAGAGGCTTGCGGACTCGTGGCCCATATGTCCTCAATGGCAAGACCATTTCAGCTTACACCAATAGGTTCAAAACCAGACAGGACAATGTTGTCAAGGTTGGTTACTGAAACAGTTTAAACTAGAGATATCCCGACCCAGTCCCCAGTATGGGGGCCAATAAAGGCATATTTTAAAGGATCTGCATTGGCTGAAACAGGACTTTCAGTATTTGGATCAAATAGCTCAGGAAAATTTTTTTTTTACAGATCTACAGCTATTATATAAATATGTCGGATACATATTTTAATCAACATTTAACCAACAAGTATTGAACTTGACCCAGTATTGGCAGATACACAATATTAAAGGAATCACATCAAGATCAATGCCAAAAAACTGCGTCGGAACATCCCTATTTTAAACTTACCAATAGAAATACTCATGGGAAATGTAAGAAAGTGTCAAATTGAATTGTATTTTTCCCCTGCAGGTTGTCATTCATCTGACTGATGGCCTTGATGCCCCATATGCTGAAATGAAAAGGCGAGTTGAGGAACTACGGCTTTCAGGTAAAAAGATGATACAGTAAACAGCCCTTGAAGACGATCTATACTTAAACCTGTGTGAAATATAGCAATATCATATTCAGAAGTCGTTTTTGATGATAAATGTGTTCCTGAAACTTTTGTATGTACAAAACAGGAGTGAACAGTTTCATCCTGGTCGGGTTGGAGCGAGTGCCCAAATTTGAGGAGGCTTTGCTACTGGAATTTGGCCGCGGCTTTAGGTACACCAGACCCTTACGAGTCAATATCATGGACTTGGACTATGAACTTATGGAAGAACTGGTGAGTACTAATCAGTCAGAAGAAGAAGAAGAAGAAGAAGACGACTATTGTGAGCTTTATTTCTTCCCCTAGAATTACTTAATATTTGTTTTATTTTGCTGTGTAGGACAATATCGCAGAAAGGGACTGCTGTGGAGTGCCATGCAAATGTATCGGCACCAGAGGAGACCGAGGAGCAGTTGGACTTTCAGGGTCTAAGGTATCCAAAAATAAGTACTTGAAAATATACAAATACTCTTCCTTTAATAATACCAGAAAATAATTGTTTATCAGAAGCTAATACTTTGTTGTTTTGTTTTTTTAGGGAGGTCCAGGATTACCAGGAAGCCAAGGACATCCTGGAGATGAAGGTGGACCTGTAAGTTTTAATGCCTTGCTGAGTTTCCATGAGCTGAATATCAGACCTGCTGTTAAGTGCCCTGATCTAAACCTGTTGTTTAACCATGCTTTGTTTTCTCAAGAAGTACATTGACAACTATTAATGTTGTCCAATGTTCACTGTTTTCCACACTTCATGTTCCTTCTTATTGCAACCCTACTGTATTTTGTTGTTTTATTGTGTTTATTTTGTGATGACAGGGAGAGAGAGGTCATCCTGGTGTGAATGGAACTCAGGGTTTCCAGGGATGTCCTGGACAGAGAGGTGTCAAGGTAAAGGCTTTGATATTAAATTTAACATTCAACTTGAACATATTTTTTATTGTTATAAATATATATATTATATTACTATTTTCTTTCATTCAGGGTTCTCGTGGTTATTCAGGAGAAAAGGTAAGTGTTAATCTTTCTTTAAAAAAAAGTCTTCATCATTAGATAAAGCTGTAAAAAGAAAAAAGGCTAACACACTGATTACCTAACCAACTGCTACCATGTTGCAGGGTGAATTTGGAGAAATCGGGCTTGATGGAATCAATGGAGAAGAGGTAAGTGTGTGTGTTTTATTAGAATCTGTCATTTAGTCAATCTGTTTTATATACAGAATGATGTGCAATCTCTTCTTCTCTTGCTGGCTGTCAATCTGTGTGGCAAGTGAGTCCCATCAATGTGTTCATGTGGCAAAGACGTGAATCTGCTCTGGTTTATGCATGATTAGGAGCTTTAATTGGCCTCTGCTCTTTGTTTTCAGGGAAAAAGTGGAGTGGCTGGACCCCCAGGAGACAGTGGAAATCCTGGCAGAAGAGTCAGTGTTTAGATGCAATTTTAGCATCACGTTTGTTCTTCCCTTCCTTGAGCAAAGAAAAATCTTCTATTGCCAATGCTGTTCAATGCTCACTAAACGTATTTATTGCTTACAGGGTCCCAAAGGTATCAAAGGACAAGCAGGAGACATCGGAGAAATTGGAATCAGAGGAGACCCAGTGAGTATTATGGAAACCCTTTTTTCAACCATCCATACTTACATGTTGTGTTAAGCATGGATACCTGAACTGATCTAGGCTGATTGTAAAGTATTAGCATATTCATTACTTGTTGAATATTTGTAAATTTGCTTGTATGCATATGCATGTTTGTATGCATGTATACAATAGAATGACAGTCAGAGAAGGCTAGTTTAGACTGTCATAAATTACATTAATCCATTCTTCAGTGGCAACTGTTCAACTTTCCTTGAACAGGGCTCCCAACAGTGGCTGTTGTATAAATTGCTGTGTCCGATCGTTAAGTATGCATCCTCCCTCACCTTGCCATCCATTGCTCCCCCAGGCAGTTTGTCAAAATAAGAATGTGTTCTTGGTTTCCTGGGCAAATTGTGTTTAAGGGTGTTTGAATGTAAATGAAAATAATCTGTCTAATAGGGTACAAGTGGACAAGATAACAACCAACCAGGACCTAAAGGAGACCCTGGTGATGCTGGACCAGTGGTAATTTTTCCTCTTCATGTATTGTATTGCTATAGAAAAAATCCTACCAATGCATTTTCAATACAATACTTTTAGCAGTTTAACATTACATGGTTGTCTCTGTTTGTATGGGTTTGTTTGGATAACTTTGATGACTGCTCTGCAATGATAGGGAGTGTCTGGTGAAGATGGAAAGATGGGAGACCCTGGTGACTTTGGAAGAAGGGTAAACAATTTTTTATTAAGTTTATTATCTTTGCTAAATACTTACTTTCCACTGTTTTTTATTAATCAAGACTTACTCCCACTTCATTAGGGAGCTGATGGCAGAAGAGGCCCACCTGGACAGGCTGTAAGTCCCTTTTTGGTGTTAACACACATTTCTTATCTGTCCTGGCAGTAATTGTAAATTGTAATTATGCTGCTCACGTCATTATAGGGAAATCCCGGAAAACCAGGAGCTGATGGTCTTGTGGGAGAGGCTGGTATTGGAGGATCTAGAGTAAGTTTGTCTTTCTTTTCATTTTTTTTTTTTTACAGATTATTCAGGCTACAAATGGCAACACGTATCATAGTGAATGTCATTACTGTTAATTCTTTTTTTGGCTACATTAGCAACATGACAAATTCATTTGACTAGACTGTGCGTGGATTATCTCTATATCTAGAAATGTTTGTTCAGTATTTACTCATTGGTTGGAAGTCTTTGTCAAATATGCAAGAAACTTCATTTATCATTGATGTCTGGTTTGTCTCTCTTTTTTTTTAAGGGTAAACCTGGACCGATTGGTGCACCAGGACCGAGAGGAGAAGATGGGAACCCTGGACCCAGGGTAAGTGAACCTGTTATTTTTATTAAATAAAATCTTTCGGCAACATATTAAACGCATATTGATTCAAGTCAAGTCATATATATTTAGGGAGCACCAGTGTCAGTTTTAAACATAGTAGAATACAGATAGAGAATACCAAGCAGACATCTACCACACATTACAACTTCAACAGCGTACGGCTTTAAACAGCTAAAAATCATGTACACATTATACCTAATTTTGAGAAAAGGAAATTCTTCTAATGTCCTAATGTTTTGTTTCTAGGGTCCCGGAGGTAGCCCAGGTTCCCCTGGAGAAAATGGCAGAAGAGGAGGACTTGGTCGCAAGGTACTGACTGGAACATAATTTGGTGTGGATTATGTTCTTCCATAACAGGCTTGTTTAATTTATAAACACACTGGCCTAAGCCCAGCTCTCTCACATTACTGGACACACATGTGTAGTCTATTTGAACAAACATGAAAGCGCTATAAGAAAACATCAAGGCTCTGCTTGAAATATACTGCAAAAAAAAAACTGCATATGAATGTAATTAAATCTATAGAAACTGACTTGACAGTTTAAAGAAATATTTCACACTTAATTTAAAGCTTTGACATTGTCTATGAACCTTAACTATTTCTGCCTCTATCCCATTCTGTGTATTTCTGCCTTTGTAGGGAGAGCCAGGAGAGCCAGGACCGAAGGGTGTTATTGGACCTCTTGGTCCCCGGGGAGAGCCTGTAAGAATGAATCCACATCTTCTTCGCATGTACCGCAATGTAAAACTGGTGAAAAATGACCAAAATAAGAAGTCTCCACTATCCAAAATATAAGACTTACAATCTTAGTCACATTATAATACAGAAGATGATCATTTGAACTTATACCTAATAACTGTCCTTGTGAAATAGAACACCTCTGGCAAAATAACTTCTGCTGCACATTGAAAAAGCTTTTCTTTGCATCACTGCCATGTGTGGTTTAAAGAAAAACTTATGTTACTGTCTTTTATATGACAATGAATGGTGTTTTATTGATCAGGGAACTGGCATTGTTGCTGAGTTTTGTATTGAAAAAGTACCATAACACTACTTAGTATAACAACAGTGCATAACTGTTGGGAGAAAGGGGACATGGATAAGGAGGGTGTTTCTCCTGTTTCCCCTTTAGTACCAGGAGTGCATGCAGCTACGTTAATAACACTTGATAAAGAAGATTTGATGAGCCATTCTTGTTTTTTCTTATAGGGTGAAGATGGTAGAGATGGCTTTGGTGTCACAGGGCCTAAAGGAAGAAAGGTAAGTTAATTTTTACCTCTTGTAATATATATGTATATATAGCAATAACAAGGAATGTCTTAATAATTATAAGAGGGAGTTACAGAATATAATGAATAGTTCTGTAAAGTATGCCATGGCTGTAGCCCATTTAGGGATAGATATATTATCAGTGTAACATATGCAGTTATGCACTCATTAAATGGGACAATAATTGACAAATAACACTTAAAGTATGCCTGCATTTTAATCTACAGGGTGATGAGGGCTTCCCAGGATTCCCAGGACCAAAGGTAATACAACAGAGATTTCAAATTGTAGTGTTAAATTGTACAGTCTGGTCAATGAGCCTTCCTTTTGATTATGATCATTGGCATCCATTCTCTTTACTTTCTTCCATTTCAGGGAGCTGCTGGTGACCCCGGCACTAAGGGTGGACCTGGACCCCGCGGGAATCGTGGGCAGAGAGTAAGTTTTCAGACTCCCAGTTAGATTAGATTAATAAATGGTATTGCTTTGCAGAGTCTCTCAACTGGACTGGAAATCACTCAACATGTGTTTGGTGACTAGACTGTATGCAGTCTGGTCTGGTGGCAAATGAGCTGCACAAGCATTTCTGAATAGAGGGAATCTTTTAAATCAAGTTATGTTTTTTAACTATTGACAGTTGAATATCTTTAAAAGTAAATTGTATTAATTTTACTGTTAATTCTTTCTAGGGTGTCTCTGGGAATGTTGGCACACCTGGACAGAAGGGAGAGGTTGGATATCCTGGGCCATATGTAAGGAAGTTAAAATTCTACTTTTTGCTTATAAGCTGTATACATTTCATATAAATGACACGGTGCCATCATAGCAGACTATGGTTTACATACTTGAGTGATCTGTGTTTCCTTGTCTCATAAATTCACATATTTTATACTGCACAGTGTAATACTTTTAAGTTAACATGATTTAACAAAAACAATTGTGTTATGTAAGCAATACACAATATAAAGTGTTTTTTTATTGCTGGCCACATCCAGCTGTTAACACATCTGTTGTTGCGGTTCCCATAGGGTCAGAAAGGACCGAGAGGACCAGGTGTCGTGGTATGTGCTCATTTTTCAAACTATTTAAAATTGTATTGAATGAACAGAAAAAAACTAATTTCTGGTGCCTGTGATCAGATTATTAAAAATGTTTTCTCCAAATGTCTTGTTGTCCTCAGCAATGTGACCTGGTCAAGAAAATCAGGGACAACTGTCGTGAGTATAATTCAATGAGTATCAACAATGTAATTTGATGACAATGAAGAGTATAGATATTCACGTGTTATACTAATGTCTCACCACACTTTGTCTTTTTGTCTTTTTTTCCATCAGCTTGCTGTTATGGTAAGATATAAAAGAAAATAAAAATATATATAATATAAATTAGATACATGTTTGAATGACTGTGAATGTACTGTATGCACAACTATACAGAAAGCTAAATCCTCTATGTGTACACCATTAGGTCAGCAGGAATGCCCGCTCTACCCCACTGAGCTGGCCTTCGCCCTGGATGTCTCTGAGGCCAATGGCCGCCAACCCTTCAACAACATGCGTGACACAGTCCTGCGCCTAGTCAGAGATATCACCATCTCTGAGAGTAACTGTCCAAGAGGAGCTCGTGTTGCGTTGGCGCTGTACAATGATGACGTGACCACGGAGATCCGATTCGCTGATGCAATGAAGAAACGTGCCCTGTTGCAGCACATTGAAGGACTGCAGACGCTGCAGACCAAGAAGACTCGCAACTTGGAGTCTGCCATGAGCTTTGTGGCCCAGAACACCTTCAAGAGAGTGCGCAGTGGTTTCCTCATGAGGAAGGTGGCCATCTTCTTCGTCGGTGGAGCAGTCGGTCAGGCACGAGGACTTACCAATGCAGCCCTTCGCCTCCATGATGCTGGAATCGCTACTTTGTTCTTGGTCAGCCGTGAGGACAGAGCACTCAGCAGAGCACTGCAGGTAAAACAAATCAAAAACAACGCAGGTATTTCAAAAGGGAAGTAGTACATAGGTTTTGTAAGGCATATTTACAGTCTGTCTTCAAAGGAAAAACATACAGTGTACATTGTATTTTCAACATGTATTGCTTCTCTTTGTACACCAGGCCAACAACACAGTACTGGCCCAGGTTATTGTCCTTCCCAACCCTGGAAGTGCCCAGTACAATTCAGTCATCCAAAAGGTTATGAACTGCCATGTCTGCTTAGGTAAGAGCTTATAGTTTTTATTTTTCACTTTATTGATCCCTCACACATCAAATAGTTGTTCTATGTCCTGTTATGAGTAAATTCGGTTTGGTTGACATTATTTGTTTGTATTATTCATTATTCTATCCTATTTATATAATAAACATGAGTACATTGCTAGATTTTTATTTCTTGAAAAATAAGAAAAACGAGTTTAACCTTGTGTGATAATAATTGTACGAAAAACCAATGTATGACAATACACTGGCTCAAGGTAAATTCTAATACATCCATCAAATACAACAACGCAGCAATGAATGCAATGAAATTACATATGTTCTCCTTTTTTTAGACTTCTGCGCTCCCGACCAAATGTGTGACTATGTGCCCCCATCGTCCAGCCGAGATAGGAGGTCTCCCGCCATAGACGTGGACATCGACATGGCTTTCGTCATGGACAGCTCTGAGTCTACCTACCCAACATTCTTTACAGAGATTAAACGCTACATAGCGCAGATAGTGGAGCATCTACATGTGTCTTCAAATCCAACATCATCCGTTCACCACGCAAGAGTGTCTGTGATCCAGCAAGCACCTTACGAGTTCCTCAACAACAAAACTGGCTCTCCCATCCATGTGGATATCGGTTTGACTGAGCACAACTCAGTTCAGGATATTGTCAAATTTCTGCTGGAGAAGACACCGCAGTTGGAGGGCGGTCGGGCACTGGCGGCAGCTATTGAATCGACAGTGGAGCATGTGTTTGAGAAGGCGCCTCTACAACGTGACAAGAAAGTGCTGATGCTCTTTGTGACGGGAAGTGTGGAAGAAGACGAGAAGCAGCTGATGCGTATTGCCACTGAGGTCAAGTGCAAAGGCTACTTCCTGGTCATCCTGGGCGTGGGTGAGAAGTTGAGTGCTGGAGATAGTCGTGTCTTGTCACGCATGGCAAGTGAGCCGTCAGATGTCTTCTTCAAGCGGCTGGACAGCATCTCGCACTTTTACGACAAACACATCCAGAACTTCGGCCAGCTGATGCCAAAGTATATCAGCAGTAAGTTCAAGATAGATATCAATCTGTCAATCAATTTTATTGCTTTTTACACACTTTTTTATTTACTTAATGTCATTAATTTAATCAGTTAATCGAAATGCTGACTTGCTGTGTTCTTTTCAGTTGAAAATGCTTTCTACATGTCCCCTGAAGTCTCCAAAAACTGCAAGTGGTTCCAAAGTGACCAGCCCCTTAAAAACCCCTTCACGTCACCACAGCAACAGGAGTAAGTATTGTCATATTTTGGGGTGCTGTTAATATCTTGGAAATACTGATAGTTTAATTTATTCTTTATTGGTCCATTTATAGGAAACATCAGAAACATCATGAAAATCACCAAGCAGTTCAACAAAGAAAGCACAAAGGTAAGATTGGATGTACTAAAAAGAGCTTTCAGTGGGCAAAGTTAGTTTAATAAGTACTGTTTGATTTGGACTGCTGATTATGTTTTCTTCACTGTGAGTCATGTATGGCTAACCGCTAACACCGCCTGCAAGTAAATCAACAATCAGCACCATTGTTCACACTTCTCTCAGACTCGTTGAAACACACTTCACAATAGGAAAAAATTACCTTGAATATTATAACTGGACATGAAAAGTAACATTTTCACACTGACGTTGATCCACAACAGCTACTGGCCTTCTGCTAACTGTGTACATGTGATTTCATTGTGCATTCTCCTGCATTCACCCAACTTTATCTTCCCCCCTCAGATGCAGGTGACGAGCTACACGTCTACAACGTCACCTCCAGCAGCTTGAAACTCCGTTGGAGCACCTCAAACCCCAAGCTCTTTGTCTATTTTGAGGTAGTGGTGACACGGCTGCACGACCACGCCCTGGTGCTGAAGACCAACGTGTCGGGAACAGAGCTTTCCGTGGACAACTTAGAGAGTTCTCAAACATATCATGCTGTTGTCACTGCCCACACTGCAGAGGGTCAAATTGTCTCCACCCGCAAAGGAATCATGACCACCAGTGAGTCCATAAATACATCCACACGGATATGTTGCAAGCTTCCTTTATATCTCACAAGAATAAACAATATTTTCCCTGCCCCTTAACACTAAAGAAAGCAACATACTAAATATGTTGGTTGACAGTAACTTGATCAGTACCACCAAGTAATAATATTTCTAGGTTTTGGGACTTTGCATCTCTTTGTGGGGGCTGGTATTTGTACAATCAAGTAAACTAAAGCTAAACTAAAACTAAAACTAGACATTAAACACTCAGGCAGTTGTCTTGAATGAATCACAGACTTCATATTATTGTAGCTGCTCCATGACCGCTGGTTTCACTTTGACAGAAGCAGCAGAGCTTAAGCCACAGCATAAGCCAGCCAGCCAAGTCACCAGTACTGTAAACACCGCACCATTGGACAAACCAGAAACTGGTAAGTGATGGCACATCATGTTTTTTTTTCTACTTTGACCTGTATTCTGTACTTTTTAACCTGCATAACTTGTTATTTAGCAGAAAAGATGCTTCTTTAGACATATATATTGAGGAAACTTTGTAGAATCATGTGATTTGTACATGTCTGTATCGCTTTATGAATTTGATGCAGTGCAAGGTACCCTGTGCTTTGTGGAAGCTTGAAGTGATACCCGAAGAGTGTAAATATGACTTTGAGCTCAGCCGGGAAATAGGAAATAAATTCTGCTGGCCTCATCAACCGCATATTAGAACAACAATACACTGCAATGGAACCAAAAAGGGTTCAACAGTGTGCTGTCTATAGTGGCCTGGTGCATTAAAGCTAACGGTCCCTGTGGAGTTATGTTTGGCTGTGTTTCCTAGGCATAAATGTTAGTCATATAAATAAAACCTGAGGGTTCAACTCAACATAACATGCTATGCTGTAATGCAGCAATATTTAAACTACTACACAAGTGTGCTATTAATCAACTCAATTGTTTATTGCCAAAATATACTGTGGGTCATTCAGGAGAACTTGCGAAATCTACTGCTCAAACTTGAGGAGTTTATAGATTTAATCTTTTCCATAATGTGTTGTGACAAACAAAAGAGTTGAGGTTGCAATATCTGTGCCACTTTGGAGAAAAATGTATCATGTTAGTGGGATTGGAGAAGATTTACAATGCACATAGTTTTAGGAGTGAAGCCTTACAGCTGCTGCTTCTTAACGAAGACACTGAGGCATAACTGAGACATGAGAACATCTATACTGGCTGTAAATTCAGGAGACTCTTTGAGGCTGCCAGCTTCATATCATTCAGTGATAGCAATGCTGTCTTCATTTAAAAAAAGTCAGTGAGTGCTGTAACTCAGATACCCCAGTGTGAGCAACACGTTTTTTTTATTAGCACCTTTTTTTTTATCGTAACTACCTGTTTCTGGGATTGGTTACATGCAGATAACACGGACCACACAGCCTTGCAAATCTTAGATGACTAAATGAACTAACTGTAGTTATAACAAACTAACTTTTCAATTCACCAACAGATTTATAAACCTGTTTCTTTCTACTGACTTTAGTTTTCAAATGTCCAAACCCTTAATAATGCAAGAACCCTCTGTAGCATGCACTATAAGAATGAACCATATCAGCACTAAGACTCATTTCACCCTATAAGCCCCTTTTGGACACCCCCAAGCTTCTAATATGAATTTATCCACTAGCAGCAACTTTTTAACAGCATAATATAACTGCTGTCTGCCTCATATAGTTGTGCATTTATTCCTAACGCAAACTCATCCTCTCTCTCTGTTCTCCATCACTGCTGTTTTTTTTTGTTTTGTTTTTTTGCATGTTCTAGTTAATGAATTTGCAGACCCATGCTCACTTGACTATGACCCTGGAAGCCCGTGCAAAGACTATCAGGCTAAGTGGTTCTTTGACAGAAAGAACGGGATCTGTACACAGTTCTGGTATGGAGGTTGTGGAGGCAATGAAAATAGGTTCGAGACAGAGGCCCTCTGCTTGAAAAACTGCATGAGGTCAGGTAAGTGTCGTCAGTGCCAGGCCCTGTGAGGGAATGGGCTGCCCTCTGGTGTGATGGTATAATATAATTCAACATATAATGAGCTTCAACTCTGGTTACAAAACCTACAGATGACTGTCCGCTAAAGCCCCCCAATCATAGTCCAAAAACTGTAACTATGCCCGGCATACTCTTTGTGATGACCCTCTGAGCAGGTCTCTCCCTCCAAGAGCCTGGTGGGTGGAGTCGGTTAATCAGCAAGATTAAGTTCACCTGGTCTGGTGGCAAGACTATATAGACTGGAGGCAATTAGCCAGTCTCTTGTGCTCCCTTGGCTTCCACCTTGTTTGGTTTGGTAGAATTTAGTTTTTAAGCTTCATTTCTCTTTTAGTTATGTTAAAAAACTTATTTTTAGTTACAACTCGTGTGTGTTCTCCCCTTCTTTGTCCAGCCTTGAGCCAGGTTGTAAAATTAAGAAAATACAAATCTTAAGGCATAAATCGAACTACAGAAGCTGAGAACAGCTGGCTTGAAAAATAAATTCTGGAGATAACGATAATCAACCCATCATCATGAGAAAACAAAAGGTTGTTTCCTCCTGTCTCTCATAATGTTCTTCAGAGATCAGGAGTGACATACCAGCATGCACAGATGGTAGATGTAGCATTGTAACATAATGGACAATGCATGGAGGAATGCCAGCTACTATCCATTTTTATATTGACCCAAACGACCCAAATCCTCTGCTGATATATTTTGTCAGCACTGCATCACATTGCCAAGAAAATAATATCTTAAATCAACTCCCATATCTCTCATTCTGTGAACAACTCTCTTCATTCCAGTTATGAATCAGCCCCGACAGTGAGATAACGAGATAAATTAATCAGTGATCTCAAGATAAATGCAAGCACGGTCTGCGTAGTCTCTTGCATGTCCAGGTTCCATTGTAAGCTTTTAATCCATCCAAGGGTTATGTCAACAATTCAGTCACGTGTTTATCCCTGCACTATAGGACTAACTAACTTCACCCTGCAATACACAAAGAATGCTGCTCCTTCATTTTCACGTCTTCTACTTGGATCAGGAGGATGCTGACTTGTGCAACATGTAGCCTCAGTCTTTTAACATGGTGTCATACATGTACCATGTCTCTTTTATATGCTTTTGTTTTAAAAGAGTTTTCAATCAACTCACAAACCTTTAGCTTTTAGCATTAGCGTCTGCTGGTTAGCAACACCTCTGATAAAATCAAATGGCCACAGCTGGCATCTCAGCGGACAGAATTCACTTTTTTATTGTTGTTTTATTCACTTATGTGGGAAGACTGAAGAATTGTCAATAGAAAATCTGCCACCGTTATCATTGTAAGCTGCATGCTGTGTGAGAATGGAAAGCTTGACAGAGGTAGGAACAGTAATTAGGGAGGTGGGGCTTAGCAAACAGTCAATTAAATACACACAACTCCTAGAAGCTAAAGGAATCTTACTCCCGATATAACTTCTGAACTGCCACTGATCACGTGAGGTAAAATGTGCATTGCATCTTCATACAGAGGAGTGATGAGTGTGCTGGGGAGTTAAAGTAGGAAAATAAAAGCGACCTGCCAATTTGCGACTGATAATGAGGAATGCATCTGAGTAACTGTCTGTGGTCATTATTTCCACAGTGCCAGAGCCTCAGCCAGAAGTGCAGAAGATTGAACAGGTGGAGATCCTCCCGGCTCCTGGTGAGATCTGATATGCAGTCACTAAATAGCATGAATAGTTTTCTATAAACCTACAGTATTATGTTACTGTTCCTTTCTTTCCAGCTCCCTGTTTTTAAGACATAACTGACTTTGATGTGCGTGTATGTGTATGCAATGCAAATGCCAACCAGTAGGAAAGAAAAAGCACTTCCTTCCTTGTCTAGTTTTCAACAAGCACATCCACGTCCTCAACGTTTTCAGACCACCCCTAATGTTGGGCATATATCTGTACATCAAGTCACCAGCCTTGCTGGTCATATTACTGTTATATAATTACCATTTCCATAAACATGCTCCCTTTGCAAAACAGCAAGTCCTTTGTGTTCAACTGTAAACCCACCCACCCTCTCCACTGGCCCTCAGATGATCTAAATGACTGACGGAACAAGTAAAGGGCCAAGCACGGAAAACAAGAAGGTTATGCTTTTGTCACGGGAGCGAGCCAAGTCATAACCACAGAGAAAATGAATGGAAAGCCTTGTTCACTGGTTCATTGTTTTTTTTGGCAGCAGGCCTCATACAGAGCAAGTTCAATTTGTCAGTACCTTGTCCCTGTAGAGTAAATTGGCACAAGATACTTACAGTAATACAAAGTGTACTCTAAACCAAATGCGCCATATCTCATGATTGTGGAAGAATAAAACTCTGCCGTGATGGAAGTGCTTTTGTTCTCTCCTTGAAGCATTTATAAGCATTATCCCACTTATTACTACTCATTGTGTACAATAGTAATGCTTTATTTACTTCTGACTCATTGTTGTTCACATTTAAAGTCTAATTTAGTGCATTTACAATTAGTTAAAGCAGGCCTTGCCATAGATATGTGCTATTTTAGTTGCAGGCATTCACTTTCCTGATTGTCACTCTTTATCACATCCATCACAGCGGCCTCTACAGCCGTAGACATCTGCCAGCTTCCCAAGGAGGAAGGTACTTGTGCCAAATTTGTCCTCAAGTGGCACTACGATGCCCCGAGTAAGAGCTGCACACGCTTCTGGTATGGAGGCTGCGGTGGAAACCAGAATCGCTTTGACACGCACGAGCAGTGTGTGAAGGCTTGTGGAAAACCAGGTACTTGTCTTGTTCACAGTTATAATCCGTAATTAGTTATTGTCAGTGAACAGGAAACTGACAGAAAACAGCACCGTGGATTATGCCGAAGGGTGGCTTTTCTTGAGTAGAGGATACAACAACACATCAAGTCCCAATAAATACAACATACAAGGAAGTAGGAAGTAATTTTTGATTCACAAACATCATAAAAGCAGTAACAAAATATAAAAAAAACTTTATTGTGCTCTTAATTTCTATTTTGCCAGTCTGATACAGCGAGCCAAATTAACTAAGGCGTTGCAGTTTGAGTTGGCATGCAAAGTTGCCAGCACAGCTTTACCCATTTACCATCTCTGTGGGAGCAATTACAGCATTCACGGTATACACAGGATGAGTCATGCTGATGAACTGCTTCACTGTCTTCTCTCAGCCTAATTGCTATGGAAGTGCATTGCATCCCTTAAAGACAAGAAATGTAACATTGTCACATTGTACTTAAGTACAGTTATGAGGTACTTTAGGTTTCTATTTTCTGCGGCTTTTTACATCTGTATACCAATAAGCCTTAATACCAAGTTACAAAATGGCAGAGAGAGAAAGAGAGAGCACCAGAGAAAACTTGGGCGACCATCAAAACTAAACAAAAAATGAAACTTAACATAGTTTGGTTTGTGTTTCATTCTGCTTACTTACAAAATTAGAGTATAAATAGACAGATCTCTCAGCAACACTCAAGTAACGTCCCTTATCTCTGATGACAGACTGGTTTCTTCGTTTTCTGACCCACTCTAGTTAGAAATCAGTATATCGTTGTTGGGACATTGAGAGGAAATGATGATGAAAAATGTAGCAAAGACTGTGCCAAATTCAAGTTTATCACCACAAAATTACTATAAAATAGGCTTTTTAAAATTATGAAATTCAACTTTTCTTGCCAAATCATATCGTTCTCTCTCAGCAGCAAATATTCCGAGGCCCGTCAGTCAACGGCTCAAGGGTCAGGAACCTCTTTCACTGAGAAGCATTAACCTAATAAACGGCTATTGCTTCACAATAAAAGACAATAAACAAAGATTATGTCATAAAGATCTTGTAACTTTGAGATAAATCATATTTATGAGACACAGAAGTCATAATTATGAGGTATTGTCTCACATTATCTTTTCTTCTGTAAATACATTGCACTTCCATAAGTTTCTGCAGATCGTTTGATAAAAATGTGCCACTTCAATTATCAGTTATAATGATGCATACACTGTAAGTCTACACTACCTACCAAGAACCCATTAATGACTAACAACTATATTTAGTATGTTAAGGAAAAGCCCGACAGATTATTTTCTGTTAAAGTTGGAAAGACAATATCTGCTGTGGAAACTGTCGACATGTGGTCACATGACAAAATCAAAATGTTTGATTCCACGTTAAGCCTCCTTTAATTGGTAGACACAGTTGATTTTCTTTTAAAGGTTCCAAAAAAGACAGTTTAACAAATCTATTGACATCTAGTGGTGTAGATGCAGATTGCAACTCCCTCACTACCTCTTGTGACTTACTTGTGTCAAGAAAAACTTCAAAATGTAAATGGATTTGTATGTTAAGTACTGTAAATGAACTTATACAATTCCACATATCGCTAAACATGCTTTTTCTTTTCCATTCGCAACCAGCACCCGTCAAACAAGGAGTCATCGCTGCAATAAGAACATAGGACAAAAGTGACACACGTGGCCAGCTTTCACCTCTGTTCAGGGGATTCTGAGGAGAACCATCCAACATGGCCATACTGTCAGGATGCAATACCAAAGCAATGGTGGCTGCACTGGATTCCACAACAAAATGGACTTTATCCCCAAAATTCTTGAAGTAGTCTTTTTCACAACAAGAAGGAAGGCAACACGATTTGCTGCATGATTTGTTTTAACCTACTGGTGCTACATAGTATGTTCGTTTTACAAATGAGTTGTTAAGTGCATTCAGTTCAAGTTTTTCTGGAACAATGACATCTTATGAGTTTTCATATTTTTTAAAATTCAGTTTTATAATGAAGCAAGAAACATATATGAATATCTTGGACAGAGATTAGCAATAAATCAGTACATGCAGGACTGTCATTACTCAATGCAGTCTTTTTTTTATGTATATATTTTTTTTTTTACATTCCACATTCATTCACACTTTACAACATTGGCTTTTATAGATTTATATTGTTTTCACTTGATCCCTGTGGAATCATTACTTCACTATTTTACAGTCACACAATCCACAGCAATGTTTACACAAAGTCTTGTATGGCGGTGTGTGTATTTAAACGACAGTGACCAACTGCTCGGATGCTACAACATTAATGTAATGTTAAGTGCACTTCTGGATCCGCTGCCTCAAACACACACGTTCCAGCTTTTGAGAAAAGGAATGTATCTGTCAAGCTGTTTTTTTTTTAATTTTTGTTTTGCATTTGGTTTTACTGAAAATTGTGTTTCATCGGGGTATATGGGAAATAAAAATGAATTAGACTTTCTAATAAACATGAGCAACTGATTCTTTTCTTTCTTGTTTTGAATTAAGACTTTTACACATGAAACAGTTTCAGATGTACAAATGATATTTGACATCCTTTCAGAGGTGCAGCTCAAAGAGGGGCTGAAGATTGTATGAAACCAAACGTTAATAAAAAGGTCATCTTTCATTTATTGAGTAATATGTTACTGCCTTTTACTCTTCTTGTTCATTTAAAACCGACATATTGACGTATAAATACTCTTACATTTTCAAGCAGCAACTAATATTATCTTTCTGACTGTGAAATGATCTAATGAAATCAATCTAAAGTTTAATGTTGGTCTCATCTTACCAAACTCATTAATATTAATGTTTCACTGTAAGTTAAGAGTGCTGAATAATATTTAGTTGTAATTAACAAAGCCTTATGAAGAACACAGTAATTCCCCCATAATACCCTTAATGTCATGGATATTTTTAGGGTTAAATTTGTGATTCTTCTTAAAAGATTTACAGTTTTGGGGGGTAAAGTAAATGGGATTTAACTCCAAAAGTTTTGTTAAAACAACTCTTAGAAACAGAAATTTAGAAAGTTTCACCAACATTTGAAACCTCTTTCACATTCTCCGTGGTATGTAGTAATAACTTATTCATTGTCTAGATATAATAAAATAAGATAATTCATTTATTTATCCCCCTAAGGAGAAATTAATTTTGACAAAGCAGCACAAAAACAGAAAACAAAGAATAGAATAGAAATACAATAGAATATCACAGTAAAAATATTCCTAATATTATTAATATTAGAAGATATAAAAACTATAAATGAAAATATATACACTATTTGTTGTTCAAGTAGGATGAGCAGAAAATTAAACTTGACTAAAAATAAAAAAACTAAAACTAAACTAAAACTACCAAACTACTAAAGTGGAAATTAAATATAAATAGTGCAAAAAGATTTGTGTGTTATAGGTAGGAGTTCTAAACCAGTCTTTATCTGCTGGGGTTGGAGGAACTGGGAGCTGTGGCGTTGTGTAGTCTGATGGCAGATGGTACAAATGAGCTTTGAGGCTCGGGGCTGGGTCAGTCTGTAGCTGAAGATGCTCCTGAGCTGTCTCACCTCAGCGTGGAGAGGATGAGAGGGATTGTCCATGATGGCTTTCAGCTTCCCTGGGATGAAGTGTCTGCAGGTCTGCAACGGTGGAGTGGATAACGTCACAGGCGTGCGCCGCTACTGCCAATGGAGGAATGTAAACAGTGACAATAGTGGCCGTAAACTCACGGGGCAGATACAGTTGTGAATCATGAGTCATAACAAACTGAGATCTGTAGGATGCGTATGCTAAACATTTATATACTAATTCTTGTATGCGTGCTTGTGTTTAGTTTAACATTTGACAACTTTCTAAAAACATTCCCTAAATAATAAGCTATTGAAAACTGAAAGGTTACAAGAAAGACTTCACTCCTGGGGCATTCGGTCAAAAGACATGAGCATATTCTGAGTTGTGGTCCCCGTGGGTCATGCATTTGATACTCCTAGTGGATTTTTGTTCCAAATAATTTCCTCATTTATGAGATCAGCTAGAGTCACATTTCCCAGTAACCAGATGCTCATTTTTTTTTTATTATTCCGGTAATTTTCTATGTAATACACAAATCAGTTATACTCTGAAATACCCCTGTCATCTGTATAAAGACATCACTTTAGAAAAAGGGGGAAATATTAACTCTCCAGTTTAGGTTATTTGAATGAACATTCAGTAAATATGAAGTCATCTCAAAATCACTTGTCATAATGTGAAAATCACAGGTTGCTAGTAAGATTAACAGTGGCTCTGTCCTACTCAAGCATCATGACAATGTGAAAGTGAGCCAGCAACAACACCAGGACCATGAAACTGAAGCAGCTGAATGGAATTCTGCCATTATTCTGTGCTTTTACTGTGACAAGTGAAAATGTCCTCTGTCCAAAATAACTATTACCATGATCCAGAATGTGTTCATGCATCCCTTTTGTCTCTCTTATGAGCTCTCTGTTGCTCCAGGTGTGTGTGTTTATTGCCGCGACCTGTGGTTTGATAAAGAAGATCTCAGCCATAAAAAGTTTACACAGACGTATAATGTGTTCACCTCCAGAGGCTGGATCAACTGAACTTTGTGGCTCACTAACGTGGGTCCCTCAGAGGATCTGAAGGCCGGGCTGCACCTGCACCTCCTTCCTGACTAAAACAGTCTAGCTGCAAACTAATGGTGTGTTTGGGTGATATTTAAGTTGTAAAGTCAGTTTATAACAACAAATAAAGCTGTTGTCAGACAGCTGAGAAAGTGCAGAAAGTTTCCCGATATCTGTGTTTACAGAAGCAAAGTGTAACAATACAACTGTACAGTATAAGGCCTCTATTAAACAATATATCCAAGTTCAACCTGAGGAGGAGTTTCACTCTACAATTAACACAATAAAGGGACATATCTTTAATAACTGAACTATTTTCTAAGCAGTGTGGATACTTATTTATAGTATTTACAACATCATACACAGATACCACTTAGAAAATATGACTTTCATTAATAAATATAAATATAAGTGAGTGTTTTTTTTGGAGGGGGTTTTGGATCTGGTCAAACGTTTCTTCGGGAGGGGAGTTTGCACCGGGGGAATTTGGACCTCTGTGTCTGTGAGGATGCCTGATGACAATGATAGAGCGCAGTGTGTATAATAAATTCAGTGCTGACAGTCTGCGGGAATTCAACCTACTCTTTCACATGGCCTCTGTATTTTTAAAATCCTCACTACGGCCCTGAAAAAAAAAAAACACATGATAAAATCAGATGTAGAGAGATTTCACAGTATCTGTTGAAGATTTTGTTATTTTGACAAGCTGACAAATCCTGCTTTTAACCCAGCTGAACAAAAAAAACAACTATATTTTGTATGATAAAGACAAATTCCATTACATTTGTTCTGGTTGGTCTAAAGTTTTTAAATTTGGGGCCGACATACTTGGGGAAAAGATCTAATAGTACAACTTGAAATTTATAGATGACATGAAAAGGTCAAAAATGAGGAAACATTGTGTTTACTAAATTCTTTCCATATGAAATATACTTTTTAAACTCAACAAGATAAATGTCAAAGAGATGCACAGATATTAAGAGTTTAGAGATACAAAATACTTGTTTATCCTCCTTGTTGTTTCTGTCATACTATATTTAGTCTTTGGGCACACAAGACTACAGTTTTTTCCTAAAATGGTAGAAAATGCCCTAGAATGAGCAATAAAAATGGAGGGATTTTTATTATTTTCAGTACACAAATGCGACAGGCTCCTATCTAGATATTCAATATAAATTAAGGTTATTATTAGTCCTACAGCAGCTGAAAACATTCCCTTGAGGGGCCATTCTCCATTAGTTTCAATGGGTTTTGCTTTCCTCTTGGTTCGCAGCAGCAACAGCAAATTTGTTTCGTTTTTTCATATGAAAAAGTTTGCACGTGTGCGCAGTAGTTACTGTCCATCATAAGTCCTCAAACACACAATAAATTGTATTTAGGCACTACAAAAATGACTGTCACACTCCAAGATTTGGACTGTTTGAACAAGGATGAACTGTACACAGCCCTTGAGAGATCAGACCTAAACAATTTATAAGCAAACAAAGCTTGAACTTCTCACTTCTTTACTTTGTCATTGTCTGGAGTGAAGAAGATTAAATATTTGGTCAGTGAATTTAAATGACCTTTGGATGTGCTCTCTCTCCAACCCCAGCAAAACCTCCAGATGTCATTTCTCCCGGGTGTTTGAAATAGTTCCTTGTTTTGATAAACTCCTCTGATTTCCTCCCATGCTCATCACTTCACTTCTGCATTTCATCACCCCTTCTTTTCACATCACGGCCCACCACTTTTCCCCAACATCGAACACAGTCTGACATTTGTAATGAATCAAACAAATCATATTGTGATCAAAACAAGGACTCTAAATTTAGTTTTACATTTTACGAACTAAATATACAATTTACACAATTTGGCCCAAAGTATGTGGACACCCCTTTCCACAAGGAGTCGCTCCAATTGTGGGACACGCAATTCCAAAATCTTCCTTAAACTTTGTGGCAACAGTTTGTGTTTCTTTCTTGTTTCAATATGGCAATGCCCCCACGCACAAAGCCAAGTCTATTGAAGAAATTATTTTCCCAGTTTGGGATGAACAGAAACACTGACTTCAAGCCAGGCCTTATCGCACAACCTCACTGTTGGACCTCACTAATGCTCTTGTGGCTGGATGGGAGCAAATCCCTGCAGCCAGCTTCCAACATCTGGTGGAAAGACTGAAACCAGAAGAGTGGAGGCTGTTGTAGCGGCACATTAATGCCCACGGTTTTGGAGTGAGATGTTAGGGTGTCTGCATACTTATGGCCATGTAATGTAAATATGAACAACTGTGACAGGCGAATGGACTAGTATACACAGATTTCCAATCACCATGCATTGGTTTTGCATATTTTGCTGCTCAAGCCTTTATTGTGGGACTCAGTGCTTTGAATGTCCCACATCATGTAGAGTTAAATCTCGTTAGCACATTAAAACATCACACTAGAGGACAATTATTCAAATCCAAAACCCTAACCGAAAACAACTGCTCACAATTAGTGGTGAGACTTGATATATTTACACCAGCGCTGTGTCTTTCTCTCTGTGGGTGGGAATTTGGATCTTTATCACATCTGTCCAAAAGCACAAACAGTTGTATGGGGTATGTAATAACTCTAATTTACATGTATGCACATGCAAAACTAATTGCATATACAGTACATACATTGACATGGTGCACTGTGTATCCAGTTGGAGTTGATCAGTAACACACTTGTCTCAGCAGCCATTCCTATATGTGTGCATCTATCACAGCACAACCATACCAGCTTGACTGAGATATGACAGCGCAATGTGCTTTGCAAATTGATTAAGTATGGAAAAGCTGATACAGTGAGTCGCCAACTGATGCAGTCATCACTGCACTGCTAAAGCCAACACC